TCGTGGCCACATTGGACTGAGCGTGGCCAACTGGCTCTGGGTCTGCTGGCTTCCCCTCCTGTAAATGTTTTCCTATGGGTCCTGCGGGATGATGAGAGGCTCAGAGGAGTCTAATCCTCCCAGCACTAGCCATGCTCTGTACTCAGTTACACCAGGGTGTAAATGGTGACGCAAGCTCCTCGGTGTGGGCTGGGTTTTGTCGAGAAGTAGGGTTATGCACAAGGACAACTCTGATGCTCAGGAGTTACCGACATGGCCTCTGCTCCAGGGGGAAAGCGCTGACTCTGAAATCCTGTTTACGGGCACTGACGTGGTATTTTCTAGCCCAGGATGTTGCTTCCTCTCCGTGCGGGGCCGCAGCGGGGCACCCGCTTCCTCAAGAGGCAGAGGATCTCCATCACATCCCATGCCCCGGGCACGGGTCGATACTGGTCCCCAGGCACACAGGCAGCTCTGGGTGACACAACACCTCTGCATGGTGCAGGAATCAGTGGTGCCGGCTGCTGACCCGTGTGCCTGGCTTTATCCACATGCAGCATCCCAGATGTGAGCTTAAAGCTGGGCTGAATCCCCGCTGCCACCCCTGGACCAGCCCCACTCCTGGGGTGCACTGCCCCATCACCTTGCTCTCCTCGCCCCAGCACCGCTGGCATCCCAGGGGAGTAGCTGGTTCCCAATGAGCAGCCCAGGGGCCAGCATTCCTGCTCTGGCCCTACTCACTGTGCTGGTGCAGGGCATTTATTCTGGTCTCCAGGGACTTGCTGGGGGGCAGCTGGTGGCCGGTGTGATGGATCACCCATTCGCCTCTCTTCTTCACCTGATCTTCCCTTCGTTTTATTCCCCATCACCTCATCTTTCCAGCTCCATCCCCAGCCAAACGCAGACCTGGCAGTGCTGAATCGGCAACGCCAGGACTGCCTCCCTGATGAGGCAAGAGGAGTTGCCCCACAGCTGGTAGACGGACTGTGTGCGTGGGTATGAGGAGAGCATGACGGCCACCTCGGCCAGCCTGCGGTACGCTTTGTACAGCCGCTTGGCTCAGCCGGCAGCTCTTTGCTGCCAGGGACAGGCAGAACCGGAGGCAAACGGGCTGTGGGTTTTCTTCTCAGGAAAACTGCCCGTAATGTCACACCAGCCCCCCTTTCTCTGCGGCTCGCTCAGGGCGGTGTCGTGCTGTGGGTTTCCTTTTGCGGCGGTGCAAGGGGAAGCACAGTGTGCGTTGGGCTGTGCTGCATTGCTGACCTCCGGGCGCAGCGTTGCATGAAGGGGCAGGACCCGTCCCTCTGCATGCTGGCTGCCAGGAGCAAAGTCCCTGCACACACTGGGGTCTCTGGTGTAGGCCAGCTCGCATAGTCCAGTCCTGCCACCATCCAGGTCCAGCTTACAGCCCCACCATGGGAGGCAAAGCCAGGCTTGAGACCCTCCGTCCTCTCCCGTTCTCTCCAAACAGCACCGTGGGCCATGGCACAGCAAGAAGGCACAGAGGGCACCGGCCAGAGAGAAGCTGGGGAGCCCAGGATTGCCTCCTTAACAAAGCTCCCTGGGCCCGCAGCGGAAGGGGAGGAGGCTCCTCTCCCTCCTCTTCCTCCCTCCCGCGTGGGGATTTTGCAGCCAGGTAAACACAGGATGTTGATGAAACAGGCTTGGCAGATTGGGCAACCCGGGAGGCAGCAGGAGCTCCAGGCACCTCCCAGCATCCGACACGAAGCCCAGGGCTGGCCATGCGGAGGGGAAGGGTGATGCCAGAGCCGGCTGCACCCTCCTCGGATTGTCCACAGGGTCACGAAACTCCCCTGTGTGGAGGGAGACGCAGCATGGGCTGGTGGTCAAACCCTGGGGTAGGGTGGGCTCCCAGGCTGTGCACCCTCGGGTGAGCCACTGCACCTATTCGGCCCTTGGGATCTTCTTGCGAGCCGAACTGATGCTCACAGGTTTTGACACCCGACCAACGGCAACCATGTGGAACTTCCTGAGTCCCACTGAACACTGGGGACACGCAGGGCACAGGGATGGGGGTACAGACCCCCCCAGGATCCCACCCTGCCAGGCATCGGCTCGGCACCCGCAGCTCATGGCTGGCATTGCAGAGACAGGCTCTTCCCTGCTCCGGTACAGCATGTGCCGTACAAAATATGGCTACTTGACAGAGGGAAGATGGGGGAAAAAAACCCAACTTGTTTTGATGTTTCTTGGATGTCTCAGACCTGCAGTTAGTCAGTCATTGGCTCCCGGAGTGAGCCTTGCAGGGCTCTGCGGCACAGTCTCTTGGCTCCTTCTGGGGGCTCTGGTGAGTGTGGGATGGGACAGATTTGGGGCTATTCGTGAGCAGGCAGAAGGGTTTTCCCAGGGAATGAAGCAGCTGGAGGCCAGCAGGTGACGGGCATCTCCAGTTTTGCAGTACTGGGATGCTTGTGGCCCCTTTGAGGGGTTCCCTGGAGGCAGCATGATGCTGCTTGGGTACCAACCACCATGCTGGGCTCTGCTCCCCTCCTGGGATCGGGGCACCCCATCCCGCTCCGTGGCAGTGAGTCAGGATGGGGCACCCAGAAACCGGCTGAACGCAGGAGCATTTGCCTCCCAATTCAGAAATGGGGCTGCAGACTGCTCTGGTGTCCAGCCCAGCTCGCTGCTCGGATGTGGGTGCTGCTGTCACCCCTGCAGTGACCACGGGTGTGCAGCCAGGGACAGCGAGCCACAAGCAAGCCTTGAGTGAGCCACGAGCAAGCCTTGAGCGAACCGCAAGCGAGCAGAAGGGACCCAGCCCCTGGGCAGGGACTGTGGCCAGGGCAGCAGAAAGGGAGCAAGGCAAAGGGGGGACGAGGAGAGGGATGTGGTACAGGAGGTGGCTGGGCACCAAATGCCAAAGGAACCGCTGGCTTGGTTAGAGCATGACTGGAGGGGCATGTGGCACTGTCCCCAGCGTCCCCAGTGTCCCCCTGGATACTGCTGCCATCTGCTGGCAGGACCCAATCCTGCTCCGGTCCTGAGTTTGGCCACTGTGCCAAGGCTTGGGGACCCCACTGTGACCCCACTGTCCTGTGCCCCGCTCCCAGGCACACAGGGCAGTGTGGCACCATGCATGGCTCTGGGCTGGACACCCCACGGTGCCCCTCAAGCCTCCCTGCTGCGAGCCCAAGGAAGCCAGGCTCCAAAACTGCTCATGGTATCCATATGAGATATGGCAGGTTGTAACCCCGTGCTAACCTGCTCCCTGGGCTGCAGATTTCTCCCACACCGACCCCCTCCCGGTGCTCAGACACCTCTGTGCCCGGCTTACCCACCACCACTGCCTTACAATATGCATAGGCATACAATACGCCCTTCGCAAGCAAGCCCTCTGCACATGGGCTTAGCATCATCCGATTTGTGCTGGTGGACACAGGGACAGGATCAGGCCCTTGGCCGGCAGCAGGGTGTTAGAGCAGCGGCTCTGCTGTGGCTTCTTTCTCCAGGAAGATTCCAGCTCCGCTTCTCTCCAGGGCTGCCGAGCGGCAGAGGAAGCTTGCACTGGGATAGCCATCTTCCCGCTCCAGTCCTGTCCCCTGGGTCTTGCCGGACTGCGGAGATTCGCCGAGTCCTGTCCTCCTCATGACAGGCGTGCACACACCAAGCCTCTTCCCACGGCCCCCCCTGCCCTCCCCGGTCTTCCCAGTGTCTCTGCTTTCCCTGGGACCAGCAGGTCCCAGGGCTGTGCTGGGGATAACCATTGGGGACTGGGGCCTCACCAGGTGCAGGGACAACCAGGGCCACCCTACACATCTCTCTCCACTTCCCATGGGGACCAAGATCCTGAAAACAGCCTCGGTGGGGTGTTACATGGCGTTTGCTTTTCAGATGTGCTTGGGAAGTGGCATTAAGGTTTGGAGGAGGTGAATCGCTGAGCCCGTGTCCCCGCAGAGGCCCTGCAAGCACCGCGTCTCATCCCTCCCCGGGCAGATGGCAGCGACGTCCTGCTCCTCACTGGAATATGCCCAAGTCCATGGGCAGGGATTGAGCCACAGCTGTCCCTGGTTTAATTCTTCACAGCAAAGCAAAACCAGCGTCCGGCAGATTTTCTGTGTGCTTCATGCCCTGGCCCACGCACAGGACGGAAAGCTGCACGGCATCAGGGACCTTCCCATTGGGAACGATGCCCTGCATGCGAGCCCTGCAGACTCAGTGCCAGCCGCCCACGAGTCGCAGGAAGTTGTTTTAGTCTAAAAGGGATTTTTTTTTTTCCCTAGCCCTGCAAAAACAAGCAGGAAAATATCAACCCCCAAAGGGCCACAACCCAGAAAGCCAGTAACAACTGTGCTGAAACCCCGCTGTTCAGAGCTGGGACCTGGCGCGTTGTTTTCGGTCTGATTTCCAAAGAAACCAGGTGTGTGCCTCCATCCTGCCTCCCTGCATCTCTCCCCATCCTCCCCTCTGTGATTTTTTTTTTTTTGTCCGAAATAACCATTCCCACCAAGCCACCTTTCAAAGGCCATACCAGCAGCTCAGCCCTTACAAGACATCAGAGACTCCCCCATTAACACAACTGGCCTGCTAACCATGCTCTCCAGGCATCCTTCACCCACATCCTCAACCTGTGCATCCAGCCCATCGCCATCCTGTTTGCTTCCAAAACCCCGCGTCCGCCTGACACCGCTGCCCACAGCCCACCGCCGCGGTGCCCCCAACGATGCCGAATCGTGCCCCCAACCGACATGCCCAGGTCCTTTTGCAGATGGAGCACCTGGCATCCAAGCCAGCAGGCACAGCTCCCCCCTTCTCCCAGCACATCTGGGCAGCTGTGCCTGCCGGCACCCTCCCGCGTGGTGCTCACCGTTCCGCTTCGGCAGCGCGCTGACATCAGTGCGGCTTCCTGCCCGCCAGCACTGCCACACCGCGCGCTCGCCCCGTACCCCCACAAACCCCACGCCGTGGGGCGGCGAGCCCTGGGCAGCCCTGTGCTCCTAGCACAGTGACCCCCCCACTGCCCCGGGACCCCTCGCCACTGCCCGGTGACAGCCAGCGCCATGGAGTCGGTGGCTTTGTACAACTTCCAGGCGACGGAGAAGGACGAGCTGCCTTTTCAGAAAGGGGATACCCTGAAGGTATGGGGAGCGGGGAGGTCACCTGCCATGGGGGGGGGTTGGATGCTGCTGCTTTGGGGGACAGAGTGGGCAGATGGCGTGGGGTAACACCGGTGCTTTCATTGCACCTGGCTTTGTTGCCTCTTTGGGGCTTTTTGTGGGGTATAAGGAGCCATCCTTGAGGTTTTCGGGGTGCAGAGCAGCATCCCCAGCAGCAGTGGGTACTGCTTGTCTGTGCCACCAGCCCCATGTCCAGAAAGGTCCCAGCTGGGATGAGGCACGTGGCCTCCCTGGCCATCGGTGCCACCAGCAGCAGGGAGCATGTGCCCAAATCCCTCCCCGCCAGGTGCTGGCATCGGGACAAGTTCTCGGATGCCACCCTGGCATCCCAAAAACCTTCAGGGGGGGTTTAAACATCCCCAGGGGACTGTGTCCCTGCAATGGGGGTGAGGGCACCAGCACCCTACCCCACTGCCTGGCCACTCGCTCATCTCTTCAGGGCTGATGCTGAGATGCTGGCAGCATCTCCCGGACCCCCGGCACCCAGCAGCCCCCCACGGTTACAGCCAGCCCTGGGGAGGGCAAGGGCATGGCCTGGCTGTAACCCCGGGCCCCAAACCTGCCGTGCCTGTCCCTGCCTCCCCGGCGTGTTTTCCCCGCGGCCCCGGCGCCATGCCCCGGGGTTTCGGATCCTGTTTGCACAGCTGTGCTGGCCCCCAGGTCCCTGCGTGGGAGGCTGGAAAATGGTGTTGCGCGGAAGCGGGTGTCAGCACCCCTGCTCGCACCGGAGCGTTTCCTCCCACGGAGCACCCGGCTGCCACCACCCCGGGGGGACGTGGGGGTCTGGCTGCCACCCCAGCTCCTCCAGGGACAGATTTTAACCTCATCCCTGGCCGGGGTTTTGGGGCAATGTTGGACAACCCCCAGCTGCTGGTGGTGAGCCAGACCAACCGTAAGCTGAGGAGGGGTGGGGGGAGCCGCCGGCTCTGTACGGGTGCCCCCAAACACCCCAAACCATGTCACCTTTGTCAGAGCCCCCTTTTCCCCAAGTTTCAGTGGGGGACGTGGGGTCTGGGGCAGCAGTGGGGGTCCCACTCAGCCCCTCTCCCTGTGGGACGGCAGCCGGGCTAATGCCTCCCTGCTCCTTTCCCACCTTAGATCCTCAACATGGAAGATGACCAGAACTGGTACAAGGCTGAGCTGTATGGCTGCGAGGGCTTCGTCCCCAAAAACTACATCAAGGTCAAGCCGCATCCGTAAGTACCATCCCACCGTGTGGGGAACGGAGGCTCGAAGCCCTGCTTTGGTAGCACCCACCAGCACCAGGACATCCTCACCCACCAGCGAGGCAGCAATCCCAATGGTGCATCCCGATGCCCAAAGGTTTGCCACAAGCCAGGGTAGTCCCACACATGGGGAAACTGAGTCACAGAGCTATAGGGCAGCGATGGGGTCTGCCTGCTGGGTCAGTCTGCCATTGCCACCACAGCCAGAGGGGACAGGAGGCAGCAGCATGTCCATATACCCCCGACACACAGAAATTCAACCCTTGCACCCGGCTGCCCGCTAAATAAATGATAATTGGGGAACAACAAAGCGTTATGGGATTATGACTGCATTAGACATAATCCTATTACCGTGTTATTAAAGCCCAGCATAATCCATCCCTGTTTTAACCTGTGTTTTATGTATCATTATCCCCCTAGTAAATCACATTTAAATGCCATAGCAAAACTTGCTCGGGGCTGCAGCTGGGGAGCAGGAACGCGTGGGCTCGGGGCAGCCCAGGGCAGATCCTGTTGCCTCTCCGGCTTCAGTTAACAAGCCAGGATGGGTGAGACACAGCCTCTTCTGTGCAGCACCTGGAGGGGTGGCACTGGGAGATTCTCTGTGCTAAAGTCCGTGGCTGATCGTTCATAAGGCAATTTTAACAGGTAGCAGAGGGTCTCCATGGCCTGGGGCTCCCAAATACGTGGATGCAGCCTTGGCAGGGATGGGAGCCGGGGACTCTGCTCCTCCACCTCGTTTCGGCAGCTGCCGGCAATGCAGGCAGGAAGAGTTTCATCCTGGCACGGAGGGTTTTCTCCTCTGCAAACCCCCCCGTAGCACCTGGCAGGACTGTTCCCATGAGGGGCAATGGGACATGAGGCGGAGTGGGAGAACAGGCAGCAAAATGGGGGACGAGGCACGTGATGTGGCAAGCCAGGCGACAGGATGCGGTCGTGGCTGTTGGCCATGCTGCACTAACCCTGCACGGACGAGGCAGCGTACGGGAACATGTCTGCACCCGCAGCACCCTGCAGTCCCCCCCGCCATGCAACTGCTGTGATAAATTGGGGCTGGGGAGGAGAAAACACTGTGGGGAGGTCCCAGCCCTGTGGGGAGCCCAACGGGGACCCCGCTCCCGCCGGCAACAGGGCTTTCGGTGCCTCCATCCTGCAGGGTGTCCCCGGGTGTCGAGGGGTGCCCATGCAACTGAGCCCACTGCCCTTGGCAGGTGGTACGCGGGCAGGATCTCCCGGCACCTGGCAGAGGAGCAGCTCCTCAAGCGCAAGCACCTGGGAGCCTTCCTGATCCGCGACAGCGAAAGCACCCCGGGGGAGTTCTCCATCTCCGTCAAGTAAGTAGCCATGGGATGCGTATGGACGTGTGGCGGGATGGGCAGGGGTCCCCCACAGCCCCCGCTTTGGGGACCGAGGGCATCAGGCCACCCTCGTGCATGTCCCTGCCACGGTTCTGGGAAGGGGTGAGCAGCCTGCCCTGCCCAGGACACCTCGAAGGGCCTGGGGGCTGCGGAGGTGTAGCCCTGCTGCATCCAATGCCTGCATCCATGCCTGCATCGCTGCCTCGCCTGGGGTCCCTCGCTGGGGTGCCCCTAAATACAGCCATGTGGGTAACATCGGGGCTGGGGCCAAACTGCCAGCACATCCCAGGGGACGTGACCTGGAGGAACAAGTTGCCCAGAGCATCCCCAGGGACAAAGGGATGCAGCATCCCAATGCCGCAAGCTGATGATTTTGGCATCAGCAGTCAGGGCTGTACGAAGGCAGCGTGCCAGTGGGCAGAGCCTTCCCCCGAGCCTCTCACCCCATCGCTGCCCCTTTCCAGCCCAGGGCCAGGGTAGCAGGAGCCAGCCCCAGGCCAGCCAGGCACTTTCTCACGCTGCTAATCTCTAATTAAGCATTTAAGGAGGTTCTTGCCCATAATGAAAGGGAGCCGTGTTCTGCCGTGCGTCACCAGCGTGGCCGGGTCCCTGCCCCTGCCCGGGGGCCTGGCAGCAGCGGGACCCTGCAGCGGCCCCATGCCAACCCTGCGGTGTGGGCACCCCAACCTGCCACCCCCGGGTACACACAGAGGGGGTGCCAGCATGCGGGGCCGGTGAAGGAAAACCCATCCTGCCCCATCCTCCTGCTGCTCGGGGGTCCCGAGAGGCACAGGGAATTTGGGAGCCCAAGCCCAGCCTTTGCAGTCTCCTCCCGGTACGCGCTGAGCTGAGACCTGCAGCTCTTACCACACTTTCCTCAAGTGTGGCCCCTGTTTGCTCCCTGGACAAAGCCACCTGCCCTACACGTGGCCGACACGCTGCCAGCCCTGAGCCCACGGGCATCCCGCTGTGCAGGGGCTGGGCATCGAGCTTCAGCTGCGTGTGTGATGAGCTGTGGCAGGTCTCAGCTGCTGGTCCCTGTTGCTAGTATGCTGGGGACCCTCTGCCGCTGCCTCGCCAGCAGGGCCAGGAGTGATATCGGTGCCGCCGTCACCCCCAGCCATGGCAGGATGGGTGTAGTGGAACCCGTGGGCACATCCACACCCCGCACAGCCAGACCACCCTAGACAGCAGCCCCCCAGGCTTTGCCTGCAATGCCTGAAGGGGGTCTGGGTGCTGCCAGTGTCCCAAACCGTGGTAACGTCCGTCCTCTTTCCGCAGCTACGGGCAGCACGTCCAGCACTTCAAGGTGCTCAGGGAGAGGAACGGCAAATATTTCCTCTGGGAGGAAAAGTTCAACTCCCTCAACGAGCTGGTGGATTTCTACAGGACAACCACCATTGCCAAAAAGCAGCAGATCTTCCTCCGGGATGAGGACCAGACCCAGGAGGTACTGTCAGGGGATGGGGCCATGGGGACGCGCAGAGCTGGAGTGTGGGGTGATGGCATGGCCGGCCGTCTGGCTGGGCTGGGAATCCATATCCGATCCCCTTTGGGATTCCCCCATCCCTCCCCTGGTACCAGGGCTGCCACCGCCCCGCTATGGTCCATGGGGAAACCAAGGCACGGAACGGGCCCATGGGTCTCGCTTTGCCCCGGATTGTGCTCGCAGGGAGGCATCGCGGGGCTGCAGTTCCCAGGGGATGGGGATTTCCTCCTGCCTGAACTTTTCCTGCTCCTCCCTGCCGGCCACAGGATGCTGGCAATGGCTAAGAAACAGCAGAGAGGGACGAAATGGAGGAAAGCAAACAGCCCAGCTCTGAGTAGAGACCAGTTCCAGACCCACCCTGGGCACAGGCTCCCCCACCGCCTTCAGGCGAAGCATCCTGGGGGTCCTGTCCCAAACTCCTGCGTGAGCCCCCTCGAGGCTCAGCTCCCCCCCAGGCTGCAGTGTGACCACAGAGGGGGACAGGGACCTCCTGGCTGTCCGGCTAGCACTTGGCCCTGTGCTCAGGCTCTGCTCAAGGCGGTGTCAAGCCGGAGAGGATGCAACAGCCCAAGACAGGCAGCACTGTGGGGAAGCTGGCAGGGTGGAGAAAAGCCACCGGCGCAGCTCAGCAGGACACGGCAGCTCGTCCTTGGGGCCGGTGGTGTTGCCCGAGGCAGGTGGTAGAGCCCAACCAGCTTGGGATGGGGCGCAACCAGCTTCAAGCGAGCTCCAGCAAAGCCGAGCCCTGGGGCAGCGGTTGTGAAAGTGGCAAAACTGGGTCCTGGGAGCTGGGCTGGGGGCAGCTCTGGCACCCAGAGGGACCCGGGAAGGAGAGGGGTGCCAGCTGCCTCTGAGGGGTAGTGGTCCCCTGGGCACTCAGCTCTCCCAGGCATCAGGAACAGGGTGCCCTGTACCCTGAGGTGCTCCCCTGCACCCCAGGCTCTCTCCTCCACCCCAGGGTGCTCCCCTGCACCCCAGGATGCTTCCCTGCATGCCAGGCTCTCCTGTGCTCCCCAGTCTGTGCCATGCATCCAGGGCTGTCCCCAGCACTCCGGCTCTTCGCACGGCAGGATTTCCTTAGCTCCCATCTGTTGTCCTCAAAGCAGGTACCCCGGGTACCCCCGCACCCTCTATGCTCTGGTCGCCCCAGGTTGGTCCTTGCCATGCGGTGGCATGGCATCCCCATCACGCTGGGGACTCAGGCAGTGCAGCCCGGTACAGAGAGGCTGGCAGAGATGAGCACATCTCCCCCCACCAACCCCTGCCCTCGACTTTCCTCCAGGTGAGAAGACCCAAATTCGTGCAAGCCCAGTTCGACTTCTCGGCCCACGATGGCTCCCAGCTGCCCTTCCTCCGTGGGGACATCATTGAGGTCCTGGACTGCCCAGACCCCAACTGGTGGCAGGGGAAGATCTACGGACGCGTCGGCCTCTTTCCCCGCAACTACGTCCACCCCATCCGCAAGTGAGCTGCCGCTGGTGCTGCGGGCAAGCAGGGAGGACCACGGCCCCCGCTCCCCCCCACTCACCGGACCTGCTTTGTGCCTGCACACAGACTGCATGTCCCTTTGTCCCCACGGATGGTGCCCGTCCCCATGCCGGGATGCCGACGCACGCGGTCCTGCTGGCGTGTCGGCTGTGCTGGAGGTAGAGGCCAAGCTGGCGATGATCCCCATCCAGGGGCTGCCCGGCTCTGGCACCCGAAAACGTCAACCACGGCTCTCCCTGCTTCCCTGGTCCAGGAGACCTCCACCACCCCCAGCCCAGGCATCACCTCTCGCTGCGGGCTGGCAGCATTTCTCCTGGGGGAGGGAGCACAGAGCATTGAACCAGGGCCATAAAAACTTTTCCAGAGCCACAGCCCGGTGGGGTGGCAGCAATGGAGAGGAAAAGCACGTGTGCCCAAAACCTTCGCTCCTCTTCAGACCCTGTAAGCAAAGACCCGGCTCCAAGGAGGGCTGCAGGCGGCCAGGATATGGCCGGGCTTGGTAACTCCACGGAGGGATGCCAGGGCTCAGGGTGCAGGGGAAGGCTGGTCCGGGGGGATTCAGTCCTGCGGGTGCTGTTCATAGCTGCAAATTGTGGCTTTTTTTTAATATTATTTTTTATTTAGAGCTAATAAAATGTGTTTGGGTGACACCCTTGAGTGTGGCTGCTCCTTTTCTACCACCACCACGGTGGTCCCGTGGCCGCATGCCTGCTGCTTCGCTCTGGTTTTGCTTCCCTTGCAGCCCCCATTTGCCCACCCCGATACCTCTCCTCAGACCCCTCCTGGGGACTCGCTGCCCCCACAAATGCCACCCACCCCTCACAGACCCCTGGGATGCACTCAGGTTCCGCGATGCTGAGAACACTCAGCTCATTGCACCAGTGGATTTAAACATCCCATGTCCCAAACATGACAAATAAAAACTATCACCCAAATCCCCATTTCTCCCTCCCTCCCAGCACCCTTCTCTCCCCAGGGACCAGCAAGCCGCTAGGCAAAATAGGCATAGCAGAAAATGTTGACGCACATCAGGACAATGGCGTTGATGCCGCAGACGCGGGCCCAGAACGGGGGCTCTGTGGTGTCCTTGAGGGCCACGGCCAGGGGTCCCTTGGCCTTTGATGGTTGATGTCTGCCCAGGGTGGCTGAGCAGGAACCTGGTGCAGAACGACGGTGAGTACTGGGGACAGAGAGCCATGGGGACCAGCCACCTTGTGGTGGGTGGCACAGCCCCGGGGAAACTGAGGCACGAGGCATCCATGCCGTCCTGCTGCCCACTACAGGTGGGGGGCACTGAAGATGCCTCCCCTGCCAGACACCCCTGAAGACACACTCACCATCAGGGGGTCCCTGGGATGTGCCGTCCATGGAGGGCTGGGGGGGCTCCTGCGAGAGGGTCCACCAGGTGAGATCCTTTAGCTAGAAACCAGGGTGAGACTTGCTGAGAAAACACCCCCAGGACAGACCCCACCATGGGAACCCCCCCCAGCCGAGCTCGGGGTGCACCTGGGTGACACCGACGTCTCCGGCCGAGGAGGTCGGGTGGGTGGACGCAGCCATGGGGGCCAGGGTGAGGGGTGCCCGGTGCCCTGCTCACCCAGGCTGAAGGCAGCGGGGGGGTCAGCAGGCTGCCCCCCACCACGACAGCACCCGTGACAGCACACAGCAGCATGGCGAAGTGCAGGTAGTGGATGTCAGCGAGCAGCCAGGGCCGCTGGTCGGGGACCCCGCAGCGGGGCGCAGGGTATGCCAGCTCCAGCCCCATCCTGGCCAGCCCCAGCACCAGCCCTGCCATCAGGCCCCAGAAAGCTCCCTGCAAAGCAAAGGTCCAGGGAGGGTGGCCGGAGTGGGGACAGTCACCCCACGGTGGGGACAAACCCCCACGTGTCCCAAACCTGCACCCCCTCCGCAGGGGAAGTCCCCTGCCAGCCCCACTGGCCGTGCCACGCTTGGTGGCCATGCATGGCAGCACCTGCCTCCTCCTCCTCCTCCTCCTCATCTTTGCACCAGCCACCCACCAGCTCCCTGGGGAAACACCAGCCAGGCTCGGTTCCTCTCCCCATCAGCATCATCTCCCCTTTTCCTCCCTCCAACCCCCCGAGCCCCCGCTGGGTCTGTGGGAGTGGGGTGGGCAGGAGGCGTTGGCACCAGCCCGTGTCCCCAGGGCCACCCCACGTGTGTACCTGCTCGTTAGCTCGGGGCCAGAAGACGGCCAGGACGAAGACGGCGGTGACGGGAGGAGCCAGGTAGCTGGTGACAGCCTGGATGTAGACATAGAGCTGGCCACCGCTGGAGCTCTGCAGGATGGGGATCCAGACCACGCTGAGGGCCACCAGCACCACTGTGACCACCCTGCGAGCGGCAGCCATGCGGTGCAGGGTGATGTTTCTGTCCCACCCACATCTCCTTGCACCCACACGGCATCACCGTGGCGGTGCGGGGTCCCCGGGATCAGGGGTAGGGTCCCAGTGCCGGCACAGAAGTGCTGGCAGGGGGATGCAGGCAGGTCAGCAGGAGGATGCTCGCTGCCGGGTGACATCCCCAGGGCCATGGAGGATGCTAATTATGCCAGTGCTAATTACGCCATCCCAGGCAGGCGAGCACTCCTCAGGTCCCTGCCCAGCCCCAGGGGCTGCTAAGTTGGACCCCCTCCATGGGAAAACACCAGGCAATGGGTGCTTTTGCTATGAAAAGCCCCCAGCCACGGAGGCTGGGTGCTCCTGCCAGATTTGGGTGATGCTCTCAGCACCCCCACATCTGGCCAAAGCACCCAGCTGAGAAGTGAGGATGTGGGCTGAGCTGCCCAGTGCTCAGCTCCCCCCACCCAGGCTGTGATGGAGGGATGCGTTTGTCTCCCGGTACCACCCTGTCCCCATCCTCACCCAAAGCCCAACTGCACCCCACAGCATCACCCTCCTCCAAAGCAAAAGGCATTGGCAAGACCCCAGCTTTTTGGGCCCAGTCTGAGCAGGCAGGCTGAGCAGGACGCATCCTGAAAGCCACTGTATTTATAGCTCAGGCCGGCTTGTTTACAGCTTCGCAGAATTACCTACATCTCCATCTGCTCATCTCGAAAAGCAGAAGTAGGAAAAAATAAAAGAAAAAAAAAAAAGCAATGAAAGCATCTTTAGACGGAGCCCCCACTGCCTGCCTGGTGCTTTGGAAAGAGGAAGCAGCCTGAGCATAAAATGCACACCCTGACCCAAGGGGTAGGAGAAAACCCCCTGTGCTCAGTACATCGTTAAGCCACAGAGGATGCTAAAAGTTCATAGGAAAAATGCAGGAAAATCTGAGCATGGTGGTGAGCTGGGGGTGCCAGCCGGCCGTGCCCCCCCCCGCCTGCAGTCTGAGATTGGGATCTGGGCAGGGATGGAGGGCAGAGCCTGGCACAGATTGCCGCGGGGACCTGGGGAGGATTTGGGATGGATTGGGTGTTCTCGCCATGGTGCCATCACCTTGGTACAGAGCAGGCATTGAACACCAGTGGGGATTTCCAGCCAGGTGGCATGGCTGTGGCAGGACCTCAAACCCCCAGGTCGAGGAACCACGAGCTCTCTCCGGTCCCACGAGCAAATCCCTTCCCTCTCTGTGCTGAGATGGATGGGGCATCCCCACCCTGGCCGGTCCCAGGGGCAACTGGGACCCCCCGGACAGCTACTCAAAACTAACCCCAAACCACCTGTCCCCGTGCTGGCAGGTAGGAAAACCTCAAACTTAAAGCTTAAACAGGTTTTTTTTTTTTCCTCTCCAAAACATTTATCGTTTGCTATATTCCTGCGGGGCCATACAGCGGCGGGCGATTTGCAGTGCCCTGGCTTGCACAAATCGCCCGGGATCTACTGCAGCAGTCACTCCAGCCCCGGGCGGGCAAAGCCCTTCGCAAACACTCATTAATCGTCCTCGGGAAAGCTCTCCGGCATTACTACACCCCTCGTCACCGGCACCGAAGCCCATGTCAGGGAGGGGCGAGGCAGGCCCTGACACAAGCACCCCGGTTCCCATAGGGGAATCGTGCAGGACCGCGGTTCCCCAGGATCGCTGCCCATCCCCTTTCCCACCCTCAGGAGACGGAGGATGCCGAGAAACAGCTGCTTCCAGAGCCGCTGGACCAGCCGACCTTCCCTGCAGCCCCAAAGCAGCCCAGCCAAAACCCTGCCCCAGATTCCCTCCTTGTTATTGTCTGCCTTGCGCCGAAGACACTCCCCGTGCACCCCGGCACCCCAGCACCGCGCCGGGGCATTCCCCAGCGTTGACTTTGCCGCCCCGAGCGCGGCACTGCGGGCAGGTTCCCGGGCTCCCTGCCGGCACCCGCTGTCCCCCCGGGAGCAGCCGGGACATGTTCGGGCAGCCGCTGCCCTTGGTCCACCATGCTCTTTGCTTCCCCTGGGGGGAACCGGCTGGAGGCTGCGAGGGCACAGCCCTGCCCCTCCAAACACCCCGAAAGCCCCGGCTGCTTTTCCAGCGCTTTCATACATAAAATAATCCAAGGGCTTGTTTTCCTTTCATAAGCCAGGCTGAGCGCAGGCACTTTGCAGGCTCCCGGGCACCAAAGGCAGATCAAAGAGGGCCGGACCGGCCCCACCAGTCTCCCCGAAACCCACGCTCTCCCCGAAACCCCTGGTACCTACCTGCCCACCAAGAGCAGCTCTCGCTCGCCAGCCCCCGGCCTCAGCTTCCTCCAGATGTCCATGGTGAAGAGGGTGCTGCTGCTGTTGAATATGGAGGTCAGGGATGACATGAGCGCGGCCATCATCACTGCGATCATCAGACCCCGCAGCCCTGGGAAAGAGAGGGACCGTCAGGGAGTGGCTGAACCGGAGGCGATGGGATGGGATGGGATGGGATGGGACGGGACAGCCCCAATACTTCGCCCAGGGGTAATGCCTCCCTCTCCGCAGGCACACACTGGGATATCCCCTGGGGCAAGGACGGGGTTTGGGGACACCCAGCTGCACCCCGGGATGCTGGGACCCTGCACTGCCCCAGGGTCACTCACATCCCCCGGCCTCGCTTCCAGGGTCACCCTTGGAGGGGCTGCACAGGCTGTCCTATGCACGAACCCACCCAGACCATCCATGGGTTCCCCCCCTGACATCCAACCCGTGACGGGCTGCACGGGCAGCCCTGGGGTGCAGCAAAGCCCAGTGGAGACGGAGGCACCTTCTCCCACCCACCTACCACTGGGCATCAGCTCGACCACCAGCTTGGGGTAGGCGATGTTGGAGCAGCCCACGGCGGCCCCGCACACACGGGTGCACTCCTCGGGGTCCACGCAGGCCACGGTGTCTGGGGGACAAAGGCAGGTGATGTGCTGGGACCCCTCATACAGCGGGGGCCAGCCCAGCACCCCCTCCCTCCCCTGGCAACCCCTTCCACCGGGGCAGATATCAGCCCTTCGCTACGGCCAGACTTTGGCAGGGGACCAGGTGGAGAAGAAGGGAGCACATCCCGCCTGGAGATCCACCTCTGCCCTCCCCCCAGCCTCATTTCCCCTCATCACCCTCAGCACAGGCAGGATCCAGCCCGACAGCATCACCCTCACCTCCCACTGCATCGCATCCAGCCCAGCTCCGGTCAGATCTACCCCTACCGAGCCCTCCCCACATTAAAGCCGGCAACAGCAGCTCCAGGGGGAGAACCTTCAGAGCCAGAATGGGTCCCGCCGGGACCCAGGGCTATAGCCTGAGGTCCAGAGCCCCACGGGCAGGCGCTGCCCATCCCTGCACACGGGGCCAGGCGGGTTCATGCACCGTTGCGGCAATTACCTCCGCCTGGGCAGCACCCAGCAGGTCTCTGGGACGCGCGTGGCAGGTCGCCAGGACTGTCAACGCCCAATTACTTCTATGTCTCAACGAGCGCTGAACCCTTTTTTTTTATTGTTATGCTCATAAAATATTGAAATGGATGGAAATTAATGTCAGGCATAAATATGGATGGGCTGCCTGGCTCTCCGGTTTGCATCCTTCCACTGAGGAGCATGGGGAGTAGCGTGGTGATGCCTGCACACAACTGGGAGCATCGTCCTGGTCGGTGACCCCCGCCAAAGCGGGGTGCAGTCCTCGACACCCCCCCAGCAGCAGCGGCTGGGGAAGGCAAACACCAACTGGTAACACCTCAGGGCTTTCAGTAAAGGAGCGTGGGGTGCGACGGGCTGCAATGGGGGTGCGATGGGAGTGCAACGCAGGCAGCAGACCACAGGCAACGCTCGGCACATCCCAAGGACGCTAAAAAAGCCCAGCCAGGTCCGCCTTTCCCCAGGGTTAGAGTCAGCACTAGGGCTCCGGTGACTCTCTCCTCCAGCAGCTGTGAGTAAAGCTGCCATCACTGCTCTGTGCCTCAGTTTCCCCCTCTCTAAAACACCACGTTGTGCACGGCTCCATGCAAATGGCTGGCGGCTGGCTGGTGGAAGATGTTCCAGAGGGCAAAGCAGCGTCTGGGTGTCATAGCCCAGCCGAAACGCCTGCCCCAGGGCTCAGCTCTGCCACGGAACCCCTCGGTGGGACCCGGGAGCGTGCGGGAAGCGGGAGCCAAGCCCGGCGGGACGGCCGGAGCCCCTGAGCCGGGAGCAGAGCTCAGCGTCGTACCCCGCTGCCTCGCTTTGTCATTAGGCCCTCTGCTAGAGATGGGAAATTAATTAGGAGCTTGTAATTAATGCTTCCATCTGCAGCTGGGAGGAGCCGGTGCCGGCTGCAGGAGCAGGGCCATGTCTGCGCCAGGTCCTGCCTGTCCGGCTGGGTCAGCCCGGGGCGGCCGAGCAGGGACACCTGCGACAGAAGGGACCGACCTCCTCGGCCACGGCGACCCGTCCCTGCAAACAGGCAGGGGATTACAAAAGAGCTGCCGGTTCTTTCCCTGCACCGGGGCTGCATGCAATTTGGGTGCTGAATTCACCGCGTGGGGTGAAGAGACCTGGGTACCCCATCCCCAGGGGAGTGGGGATGGGGGACCCAGGCGTCTTGGCCCCACGCGAGAGCCGGGCGATGCTCCAGGCATGGGGCTTTGTGGTCCCAATTCCCCCCCCACCAGCGCAGCTGTAGGAGCCAGCACATCGCACGACGGATGGGATGCTGCATTTACGCCACCGTGTAATAAATCATAAGTGCACACACCTCACTAAAGAGACCATAAATCTTGCACAATAAAAATAGAGCCAGGGCAGCTGGCGGCGGCTGAGGTGGGTACAACCGCAGCACGCTCCAGCCACGCCATGCACACCCACGCTTGATGCACCGGCCCTGATCCAGAGCATCTCCCAAGCTACCAGGGCTGGGCCACCCAAGTGAGGACAATGACTGCGGATGAGGTCCCGGAGCTCCCCTGTGGGTGCTGGCTGGGTGCTCGGCTCTGTCACATTTGCTGTCCCAGGTGCAATTCCATCAGCAAAGGCGCCACCACCGCTTGCTCAGCAGGGCTGGGATTTCACCTAAAATATCTAGTTTTGCCTCCAGCACCCTCAGTCTCCACTGCACCCCTTGTTGCCCAGGCCATGGCGTGAAGGTGACGTCCCACCACTGGGAAATCCCTTTGAGGCTGGCGCACCCTTTCCGTAAAGTCATCAGCTCCACCTGAAACACCTCCTGAGCCGATATTCAGTGGGAGCCAAACACTTCGAAGGTTCCTCCCCATGTTCTGATCCCAACACATGGCAGTGACATCCCCGCATCCCTGTGTCCCCCCGCTGCCACCTCCTGCACAGGACAGACCAGGGCTGGGCACAACCTGGCACACGATTTCATACTGGGAGACGGGCAGGAGGGTTGATTTTGCCAGCCTTTACCATGCGCTCGCATAAACCCTTTTACTCCAATGCAAGGGGAGAAAAGCCACCGGTTCCCCTAAACAGCCCATTACTGCAACTTAAAGCTGAGCAGGTGTCAGCTCAGCCTGCCACAGCCTGGCTTTGAGAAAGCTCCTCTGCAGATTCTCCCCTTTCTGCACATTTCTGCCTCGTCTTTCCTTCCAAATCCTCCCTGGGTTTGGCGCTTCGCAACACCACGAGCCCTGGCCAGGGGACGGGGCAGCCGGGACGCTGCATGGCCACCACCGTGTTTGCAGAAAGAAGCGCTTTGATGGCCGAGCACCCGGGCAGACGGGTGGCTTCGCCTCGGGAGCCTGACTCAAGCGGGGCTCTCATTTACACGGCTGCAAATCCAGATGAGCTGCACCAACGTGAGAGAGCGAGACACAGCCCCTGGCACTTTCCTTTTTTGCATCGGTGCAAGAATCTGACCCCGATTCTTGAAATTCGTCTTTATCTGAATTTCCAAGCAAAAAGCTCCAAGTTTCTGGCTTGTGAGCACCACCTGATGAATCCAGGGTAGGTTTTTTGCCCATCTGCCATAGCAAGGTCTAGTGCCATGACCATGTCTATTCTGCAAACCTCACGCCAAAGCAGAGAAGAGTTTAGAATCGAATGGAATAGAATAGAATATTTCAGTTTGATGGGACTTACAATGATCATCTAGTCCAACTGCCTGACCAGTTCAGGCATATTATTAAGGGCATTGCCCAAATGCCTCTTAAATGAGCTTGGAACATCAAGCACCTCTCTAGGAAGCCTGTTCCAGTGTTTGACCACCCTCGCAGTAAAGAAATGCTTCCTAAGTCCAGTCTAAACCTCCCCTGGTGCAGCTTTGGAACTTTATGGCAGCTCCGACCCAGTGCTGCTCCCCGGACCCACCTGGGCTTTGAGCTCCCACACCAGCACAGAGGTCCTTGCGCTCAGCACAGGAGGAGTTAACCGCAAAGCAGAGCTGCTTTCCTGGAAAATATTGGCTTACCAGCTGGCACACTGGGAGAGGGGGAGATTTCAGGGGAGAACCGGTTTGGTTTCGTGTTTTTTTTTTTTTTTAAGACAAACACCCAAACCCCTCCCCAGCCGCCCACCCACCTCCTGCACCCACACGGTCCCGGGGGACTCTTGGTCCAGGACGGACGTGTGAGGACGGCATCAGCCGAAAGAGTTAATGTGCGGGCAGGGCCGGGAATGTGTGAAGGCAGCATGTGACTGCAGGTGGGGCAGGGCGGAGTGATGAATCACTCTTTTGCTTTTCCTCTTTTCACTTCTTGCTGTTACCTGTCCGGCCCCAGCACTGTGCGCTGGCAGGAGCCCGAAATAATCGACCTGCCAGCCAGGGCGATGCACAAGAGGCTGACGGAGACGGTTGCTGCCGTGAAACCCACCGGCTGACCCAGTTCTCCAGGAACGATAACGACGGACGGCATCTGGGTTGAGAAATCCTGCTTTTCTCCGTCCTTTATTAAGCCAATTCTTTGTTCATTTGTTTTCCACTTCTTATTTTATCCGGTATTATCGTTGTCTTGAAAGAGCGGAGGATGAGAACAGCGTGGAGCCGGAGGTAGAGGACCTTCCCGGTGGTGCACAGCCCCGTCGCACAGCCCCGGCTGTGGGAAGCTCCAGGTTTTCCTTGCCTGGAGCCCTCTCGCTGCACGGAGCCAGGAGCAAGCGAGAAACTCAATCCTCCTCCCCGGTGCAGAAGAGCTCCAGCGTGGCAGGAGCCGGCGGAGCAGGGAGCGGCAGGTTTCCCCATCTGTGCATTGAGCCAGGAAGGACGAAGCAAAGCGAATTGTGTAAAGACTGGGGAATAATTAATTCCTTATTTATTGTTGATATCTGGTGCTCACTGGGGGTACAGAGCTCCCTTCGGAGAGCGTACCGGCGCGCGCGGTCACCATGGCTTTCTCCCAGGTGCAGTGCCTGGACGACAGCCATGTAAACTGGAGGTCCAGCGAGTCCAAGCCCGAGTTCTTCTACAGCGAGGAGCAACGCCTGGCCCTGGAGGCACTGGCCTCCCGCGGCCCCGACGCCTTCTATGAGGTCCTGAAGAAGGAGAACATCAGGGACTTCCTCTCCGAGCTGGAGCTAAAGAAGATCCTGGACACGCTGGAGACATACGACCCCGGCTCCGAGTACATCCCACGCCACGGCAGCAGCGCGGGGGAGAGCGAAGGCGATCGCAACAGCCAAGGGGATGATCAAGACGTGGCCCCCTCCCTGGAGTACTGGCCCCAGAGGTCGGACCGCTCCATCCCCCAGCTGGACCTCGGCTGGCCCGAGACCATCGCCTACCGCGGGGTCACCCGTGCCACCGTCTACATGCAGCCACCCATCGAAGGGCAAGCGCACATCAAGGAGGTGGTGCGGAAGATGATCTGCCAGGCTCAGAAGGTGAGGTGTGCCGCGGGGACGGGGCAGGATTTGCCCCAGGCTGTTCCGCCGAGGACAGATCCGAAAGTCCTGCTCAGCCAGGCAATCCCTGTCCTGCAGGGAGGTCTGCCCAAGCAAAGGCAGCGGGGTCAAGTGTTTGGGGTTTTTCCATGTTCAGTCAGTGTAATCAATATTTGGGGATCAGATTTCGCTGATCAGAAGATGCTCTTAGCCTGGTCCAGCACTCCTTGGGAGCAATGCGACCCTTCCCATCATCCGTACGACAGCATCATTAATCCCAGGGTCCCTACAGGGCTGCAGGTAAAACCACCGGGGAGAAAAATGGGTTAAGCTGCTTCCCAGCTGCGAGCCCATGGTCCCAGGCACCCACGATCATTATTCCCAGAGCCCTGTGTGACTGCATGTGGCAACACGCAGGAACCAGAGGAGCCAAACTCAGCCCTGCGGCAAAGCAGCCAAAGCCGCCGGTCTGGCACTGACATATACGAGGGTCAAGTTTGGCCCGAGATTGCTGCGGTGCTCCCAGCTGGCCTTATCCTGGCTTTAAGAGGAAAACAATGAGCTGGTGTGCAGGAGAAGGCTGGGGAGATGCCGAGGGGATTTGGGTTGAAGCTTGTCCTCCCTGTGGCATCAAACCAAGGAGCAGGGAGTTGGGGTGCATGAGCGATGGTGTCAGGCTGGTGTCACGGGCAGGAGGACCAGGGAAGGAGGGAGATGATGGCATGCGTTGAAGGCCAGCGGTGGTGGGCAGAAGTTGGTGGTATTGCCCAGTGACCAAGTCCCCGCTGGGAAGTGTGGAAGAGGTCAGTACCTGCTAGTTTTGCAGTGCTTTGAAGCCCTTCGAGCTCTGTGCATCCGCTCCCTTGAGAAATCCAGCTCCAAGGAACATCCCAACCCTGGGGATGCTCCAGCAGGAAAATGGGGAGACCCTGCCAGGGTGGCTATGGAGCAGGGGGAGACAGGCTAGGATGTGTCGGGTCCACCCAGCTCCAGAGACCCCCGTGCTGGGGCCAGGGACGGTGCTGGGGTTCACAGATCCTGGCAGGAGAGAGGGAAGCCTGGTGGCACGCAGCCGTCAGAGCTTCTCCAGGACCAGGGGGCCGGGGGTCTGAGCACGAAAAGCCCCGGCTCAGGCAGGAAAACCGATTTCCTGATGCATCCGAGGCAGCCGGTTCACAGGGACAGCTGATGCAGGGGATCAGGGATGCTCCGCTGTGGACAGGAGCCACCTCTGGCCATTGTCACCTTGGGGTGCTGGGGCAGGACTTTCCCCAGCAGCAAAAGTTGAGGTGACCTGTCCTTACCTGTGACATTTTCCCCACCAAAGGACTTTGCAGTGAGGACAAAGGGAAGAGAGGGTTGAAGTCCCATGGGATGGAGGATGGGAGAACTCCCCCGCTACAAGTAATGCCTCATCTTCGGGTCTTTCCAGCTGCATCTGACCCGGGCTTGGAGCTCCTGCCTGGCTTAGCTTACTCACCGCTTCCCGCCTGCCCCCACATAAACGGCATCTCCTGAGTCATCCTACCACCCTCCTCTGGCTCAGCAGAGCCAGGCGGTTGAGTCAGGCAGCTGCCAGGCCCTCCTGCCTGCACCATCCCCACCTCTCCTTGGAGCCTCTCCAAGCCGCAGGGACATGGCCACGGTCAACGCTGCCGTGCTTGTCACCGGTACCTTGATGCCCCCCATGAGCAAGGCTGGGCTCTGCCTCTTTGTCCAGGTGGTCCCCACCAGTGGGATGAGATGTGGGTGACACCACTGGTGACATGCAGGAGCCTGCTTGGAGCTTATGGCACCCCAGGAAAAGTAGAGATGGGTGCGTGCTTCAAACCTGCAGTCTTCAGGGTCTGGGGATGGCAGGAGTTATGGGGTCTGACAAGTGGGGTTCTTCCAGAGGTCTCCCACCCTGTATACGAGGATCGCAGTTACTGCAGCTGGACCCAGATGACCGCTGGCGTGGGCGCTCCTAAGCGTGGGGACGCTGGGCTAGACCACCCTCCTCTGCACCCGGAGATTTCAGCCAAGGCTTAAGGTCTTCACAGCAGCTCGGAGGTGAAAGGGTTTGGCTGACGAAGCCGAGAGCGGACAGAGGGATGGTCCGGCTGCCACCCCATCAGATGTCACGTAGGCTGGCCACGTGCCCTGTCCTTCCTGCGGTGTCCCTTGGGCCACCCTGTGGAGATCCCTGCCGAATTGTCCCAGCCCACCGGGCAGCGGCAGTGCTCTTCATCCACCTGCGAAGGAGCACAGGCTTGGGAGAGCTTCAGTACTGCATCCCAGAGGATGAACCATGCTCCCGCCGCTGTCAGAGACACTCGGTCTGAAACGCTCTCAGATGCCGAACACCAAACACCTCCACGCAGGTCGCTGTCTCATGGCCAGAAGAGCAAAGTTCACCTGACAGACAGCCTGGCTGAGGAAAGTTCAGAGCCCACGTGAGCACTGCTGACACTGGGGAGGCTCACGGCGGCTCAGAGCTGGGGCGAAGAAGCCAAGAGCTGAGATGTGAGGCCCCTTTGATGGTGCAGATGAACCTATTTGCTTGCAGGAACGAGGCCAAACGCTGCTGAGTTCAGAGCCTCTGCTTTGCAGAGAGGCAAATGCAGGCGAGCCGGAGCAGGGGATGCAAATGATCCCCTCCTCTTTCTGGGAATAAAGAGGAGAGAAGAGATGCAGGATCCTGTCGCCACGTCCCTGCTCTCCCAGTAAATCCCCATCTTTGTGGCAACAAATGGAGGTGGTCAGCGACATCGTGCACCACTGGATTTCACCCTGGAGACCTTCACCAGGTCCAGCTGTGGCACGGCCATCTCTCCCTCGATGTGGATCCCCACAGGCTGCAAAGCTCACAGGATGGGTAGGGAGGAAGATCTCCCTCCTCTCTTCTTCCCTAGATTTTAGCTCTATCTGACCAGAAACTACAGCAGGCTGAAAACACTGACCTTGGCCAAAAACCACCAGAGACAGCAGTGAGTCTGAGCTCCTCTCTGCACTTGAGGTTCCAGGTTGGGGTTGTGGTGATAGAATTACCCTGAGCAACTTCCAGCAAAGGTTGGGAGGCCCTATTAATTACTGTTTACAAAACCTTCTGCCATTCCTGGATGAAAGGGTCGACAGGGGAGAGCAATTATTAATGTTACTTGTCCCACTTCTCCCTCATCCCAACACGCTTCCTCTAATTGTGCCTTGGTGCCTGCCTAATTTATTAAATGCCCACGTGGTATGCCCCAAAAGTCATTATCTGATGATTCAGAGTGAGCTAATAAAGAGCTGTAATTTCCTCTATAAAACATGATCCTGCAGTTTGTGCGCTCATCAAAGCTGTTCAGAAGAATTCCAACATCATTTGCCCAGTGTCCAAGGGGATGCCATGCTCACCACTCCTCGGGGTGTTGGGACCCAGCACCTGTACATCTGCTGCATCCAATGGATCTTGGCAGCTCTGGGACACTGGGAAGAAAACCGTCACCCACTTGGGCGCTGGGAGCATCTGGCTGTAGATTTGGGGCTGCTCTTCTCCACACCCTCCAGATGAATGGCAAAGGGATGGCAAAGCTTCCTGGGATGACGCAGCGGCAAAGGGGCTTTGGGAAGAAGTGCGGCTCTCCTGCTGCCAGGGACCTTCCCAGCACGGAGCATGCAGGGCACTGAGCGCTGCCCTGGTAGAGGTGATGGGGACAAGGGTGCCAACTCGCTCCCTGTGGCAGGATGGCACGGTTTGCTCCAGACACTCCTATTCCTTGGGCTGGGAAGCAAATACCACACAGGATTTCACTTCTCTGGAGCAGACAGACCTCCATTCTTTGCAGATTAAACCCGGTACCTGGGTTTGGCATAGACCTAACCGGTCCCAGCCGAGGTTTGAGTGTGGGCAGCCCAGCAGCAGACTTTGCCCCTGTGGTCCCTGGACAGTCACCACATTGGGAGCACTGCCAGCGCCATTCTCACTCTCCTGGCCCATTTTGTGCCAGGGCAGCATGTTGGTACGCTGGCATGAGATACCGGTGACAAACCGAGGCCAAGCCTGTCCTGCAGGCAAGACGCGGCAGGGAGGGAAGCAGAAGCGCTGAGCAGCGACAGGATGCACCAGCCGAGCAGGAGGAATCGGGTTGAAAATGTGGGCAAGTGGGTGAGACCTGGGCTGCCTCACTACTACCTGAGCCAGCCACCCTGGGCAACTGCCTGCAGAGCACTGCCTGCTCGCCATCCCCACGCAAGCAGTGTTTGGGATGGGGGACGTCACCGTGCCCTGCCCACGTCCCTGCAAAGCACCTTCCCATCTTCAGAGTCATAGCCGCGAGCCAAGGCCTTGGGAATCCCAGGACCACAGTGGGAAAATACCCTTTTCATCCCAAAATGAAGGCCAATACTATTCTCATCCCCAGTTTATAAGCCCTCAACTTCCCCCGAAGAAAATGCAGCACACAGGCAAAGTGACATGACCATGGCTGCAGGGAGCATCGGTGTCAGAGATGGGAGAAAAGCATCTGCCACCAAACCCACCTCCTCGACCCGGGGAGACGCCATCCCAGCTCAGGTGCCCCTCACCCAGGACTCGCAGCAGACAGCACAGCTCCTCCCCGATTACTTGCTGTAAATGGAAAAGCCAAGCCCTAAGCTTTAAGAGTAGCTTTGAACCTGTCCCACTTTACATCATTGGCAAGACAAGCGCAGCCCTCACTGGGCAACCTATGCAAAGCGGTCACCTCGTTTTCTGCCTCAGTTTCCCCACCAGGACAAGGAGGACGTGCAAAACACACGAGCAGGTGCACAAGGGAGTGAGGATTTATCCTTTCATGGCAAAACCTGTTGAGAGGCTGTG